TAAAACGAAAAACTATATTACGCTCTATCTATATGGTATTGAGCACTGTTTGTGTTATATATATATATATATATATATATATATATATATATATATATATATATATATATATATATATATATATATATATATATATATATATATATGTAGAGTTCACTGACCAAAACCTGATAAAAACTTCCGGCTGTACTAGCCAGGATGGCGTGGATTGGCGTGAGCGAGTTAAAATTTTCGTGGACGTAAAACAATAAGGGAAACGACTAGAGTTACGCTTCTGCTCTATCTTCTTTATTCTGTGGCCTAGTTTGGTTTTGCTATTTGTACTGACTACTGTAGTCGGAATATTTAAGATAAGGTATGGATAAACAGACCCCAACCCCTTCCCTAACCAATAAATGTGTAATGAACTATTTGAGAGTTAGAAAGGTCGGGGGGGAAAATTTACAAATATTTTAAGAAACATTTCTACGGGGCTGTTTATATGGAAGCATGCCGCCAGGGTGGAAAGTTTGTAGTTTGCGCCGAAGATCTTCGGCGTGGAAAATTCATAAATTTGCTCCATTTTGGCGCAGAATTATGGGAAAACGAACTGGCGTGGTGCACTGGCGTACAAAAAATATTTACTTGCGCACACTACAACGTTCTCAACCATTTATGTCTGTATTTCAGTAATTTAATAAAGGGAATTTGATTGAGCACTGACTGACCGTATTTCAAATGTTTAGTATCTGTTCTGTCTCATTCTAAAAGTGTTGATATTGCAACTCGGCGGCGCATGTGAACATGTTTTAAAAAAGGATTTGTGCAGCCACTGGTGCATGTTACTGAACCTTGATCAAATCTTCGGCGCACAAGAAACAAACTTTCCACCCTGGAAGCAGGGCTGGCCTGCTAAACGAGATAGCCTGGTAAGCGGGATGAATTTTGCTTGCGTTTATGAGATTTTATCCTGCTTGCTGTGCTAGAAATTGTTTACATTGCACTCAATAGGCAATTCCAGCTTTTAGTTTATGCCTGCAGGGGATGATGGGAAGTAAGGTATCATAGTGCTGATTATGCTGAAAATTTTCAATAAAAACTACCGAAGCAACCAAAATATTTCAATATTTACAAGTATAAGCTATCACTCCATGTTTACACGGCCACCATTTTTATTTTTTCAGCATAATCAGCAATGTGATACCTTATTTCCCATCGTCCCCTGCACGCATAAACTAAAAGCTGGAATTGCCTATTG